AGATCGCTGGCTGCCAGCAGCTGCAATAGAGCCTGTTGGATGCCAGCAAGAGTACAGAAAAGATCCTGCCAGAATCAGCATCTCAAAAGTAAGAGCTACGACAATGGAGGAAAAGGATGCGCCCATCTTCTCAGTTGCTACATTGCGTGCATCTCTGAGTCAGTCATGTCATTAACCAACTACCTCATGACTCAGGCTTCTTCACTTCACTGAACGGCCGGAAACCCAACTCCGCATTCACTGTCCCCCTCCAGTGAGCAGAGACTTACTTTGGCTGTGTGCTGTTTGCATGCTGCAAGAGTCAGAAGAGATAACACGGCCATGGTGAAGTCCGGCCCAGAAATTGTCCTCGCCAGACCTGTTACACAGCTACGTTTGCCCAGGCAGAGCTTGCAGCGTGTGGCAGAGCCGTCGAAGGTGCGTCGGAGCAGCGGCTTTTCAATGTCTGGTAAGTCTGCACGACAACACTCCTACAAGGAGAAGTGCTATCATTACTAACTACTAGTGTTGCCAGTGAGTAGTAATACTAGTACAAGTAGGAGCACTTGTGCACTGCTACTCGTGCTCGTACTAGTACTTGTACGGTACTACTGATGACTACTTAACTAGGACCTTAGGTGCTCGTCAAGTGGTAGTACTAGTACCAGTACTGGTACCAGTACTGCTACTAATACCCGTGGTAGTAGCAGTAGTAGTCATAGTAGTAGTAGTAGTAGTAGTAGTAGTAGTAGTTGTAGTAGTAGTAGTAGTAGTAGTGGTAGTAGTGGTAGTGGTAGTAGTAGTAGTAGTACTAGTAGTAGTAGTAGTAGTAGTAGTAGTAGTAGTAGTAGTAGTAGTAGTACTAGTAGTCGTCGTAGTAGTAGTTGTAGGAGGTAGTAGTAGTAGTAGTAGTAGTAGTAGTAGTAGTAGTAGTAGTAGTAGTAGTAGTAGTAGTAGTAGTCGTCAGTAGTAGTAGTAGTAGTAGTAGTAGTAGTAGTAGTCGTCGTAGTAGTAGCAGTAGTAGTAGTAGTAGTAGTGGAGGTGGTGGTGGTGGTAGTAGTAGTAGTAGTCGTAGTAGTAGTAGTAGTAGTAGGTAGTAGGCTAGTATTAGTACTAGTAGCAGTAGTAGCAGTAGTAGAGTAGTAGTAGTAGTAGTAGTAGTAGTAGTAGTAGTAGTAGTAGTAGTAGTAGTAGTAGTACTAGTAGTGGTACTAGTAGTAGAACTGAGCAATAACAATAGTAGTAGTAGTCACGTATACTACTACTACCACTACTACTACTACTACTACTACTACTACTACTACTACTACTACTACTACTACTGGTACTACTACTACTACTACTACTACTACTACTACTACTACTACTACTACTACTATTACTACTATTACTACTACTACTACTACTACTACTACTACTACTACGACTACTGCTCACTACTACTACTACTACTACTACTACTACCACTACTACTACTACCACCACTACCACTACTACCACTACTACTGCTACTACTACTACTACTACCACCACTACCACTACTGCCACTACTACTATTACTACTACTACTACTACTACTACTACTACTACTACTACTACTACTACTACTACTACTACTACTACTACTACTACTACTACTTACACTACTACTACCACTACTACTGCTAATACGAACTACTACTACTACTACTACTACTACTACTACTACTACTACTACTACTACTACTACTACTACTACTACTACTACTACTACTACTACTACCAGTACTGCTACCACTACTACTACTACTACTATTACTACTACTACTACTACTACTACAACTACTACTACTACTACTACTACTACTACTACTACTACTACTACTAACTGCTACAATGATTACTGTACTACTATTTCTACCTGATTTATTCTTACTACACTGCTATTTGCAATTACGACAATTACACTCTGAACCTTACTATGCAGGCGTCTCCTGCCTGAGCACCTTAGCTTGTATAGCAGACTTGTTTCAATGACATCTCTTCGTGTCAGGTTTGCTGCTTTGCCGACATTTCGACCGAAGACAGCATTGCGGCTGTTTCAGGACAGTGTATACCAGAGAAGTGCAGTTCATGTTGCAGATAAAGTTGTGCATCCAAGAACGATCTGCAGTGTCCCGCTGCAGCACTTCTTTCCAGTGAGGGGCGCCTAGGGATGTTCCACGCCGTCTTTTTATGTCTCGTGCAGTCTTCGCAGTTTCGATTATCAGGTAGTTCTTCACATGATTACCCTTGACTCAGTCAGTCAGCCTGTGGCAGAACCGCAACGCCACAACTTTGGAATCACAACTGCGTTGACAACGGTCAGCAAGATCACGCTGTCGTCTGCCATGGAAAGAGGCCAGCGGCCCCGGACGCGAGATTCGATGCCGACTCTTGCCTGAGCGTGAAGCATGACGCGGAGACCTTCCGTGTCCTCAGGCACGCCGGACGGGCAAGAGTCAGCAACACGTTAACTGGCGAAAGCCACTTCTTCGATGAGCCAGAGAACACCCAGGCAATCGTACGTGTGAGCCGCCAGACCGGCTGGGCGTACCTTCGCATTGGCGAGACCACCGAGTGGCTTAACAAGGTCTTTTCCTGGTCCGTCTGGCGAGACGCGGCCTCGCAAGAGCTCTTTGCCAAGATGTCGACTGTGGACGGGGTCAGACTGAAGTGGCTGAATGCTTTTCAGGAGGATCGTCTCCTCCTCTACCCGCCAGATGACCACGAGGCCAAGGTCAGAGCAAAGACGTTAAGATGCAGTTAAACAGTTAGGGTGATGAATCGATCGGCCTTGGCTTGCAGGTCCTGGTGAATAAATAATGTGCCCTGACAGGTCTTCCGGGGCGTCCACGAACAAGAGCAGCCTCTGTTTGTGCTACAGTTTGCCTTGCCGCTGGACGGGTATCATTTCTGGTGGCGTTTACAGAACTTCCAGAAAGGCAAGAATCCTCACAACTTCCTTGGGACGTGCAAGAAGAGTTGGTCCGAGATGGCTTCTGCCATTCTGGGAAGCCAGAAGCATTTCCGGTGGCCGGACAGATCCCGGCAAGATCGCCACGGCATGCCGGGAGAGATGGCAGCACATGAAGTCTGCGGAAGCACAGTTCTGGTGCTCCTTGTCACTCTGTCCGGTGCGGTTTCTGGCAAGGATGCGACCACGCGCAAGGCCTGCGGTGACTGGCTGAGCAAAGTCATGAACGCTGTTGCAACAGAAGTGAGGCTGACTTTGCAACCTCCTTCCGACCACGAACCTGTGGAGGTCACCGTAGTCCAGGGTCGAGTTCACTTCGAAGAGCTGGCAAAAGCATGCAAGAGGTCAAACATCAGCGTCAAGGGACTGCGCCTGAGTAAAGACCATGATCTTCTGCAGTTTCTGAGAGACATACGATTGAAAGAAAAAATGCGATGGCTTTTGTGCCAGATTCTGGAGCAACTTGCTGCTGAAATGGAGCAACAGATGTTTTTCGTGGATTGGCAGGACGGCACGCCAGATATGGCGCAGCAAGGTCACCGTCGAGATCCGGTACAGCGTGTGAGAAACGTCGTGGAAGCGCGCCAGAAAGCATGGAATGCCAGAGACAAAAAAAAACGCAAGCGGCAAGATGAAGCGCAAGAGAGTGAACGCAAGAAAATCAAGCTCACAAGGCAGCAAAAAGCAGCTCTCAAGGCAAGAAGTATTGTGGCAAGAAGCTTGCTGACGAGAAAGGACAAGGACCTGGAGAGAGCCTCCTATTACAAGACTCTGTTGGCGGCAACCTGGGGCGCAAGACACCTGAACGTGTGCTTCGACTCCTCCCGCGTCGGTGGTCGCAAGATCACGTCCTACGCCTGCATGAACTTGGCAAGTGGCGAGTGTGGCTGGGCACCACCGCAGGCCAATCAGAGCCAGAAATTCATTAATATTAATTAAAGAGTTAATAAATAATGTTAAAAGGCTCATTAAACTAATGGAGTCGCTTCTGTCTTCCATCAGGTGCACCAGGACTCCGGCCACCAGATTCCTGGCCAGAGAGACGACTCGCTAGAAACTGCGGGTATTGGGCCCATCGATGTCAGGTCGATCCTTCGAGCCTTGGGCTGTCAATGGAAGACATTCAAGCTGAGTTGGCGTTCTTTTGCAAACCAACGTAAGAGGCTGGATACACGTCCGCCAAAGACTACGTCTAAGTAGATCTAAGCGGTCAGTTTAGTTTGGCATGCTTGCTCTCGACCATTTGCTTAAGAAGCTGAGGGCAAGATCGCAAACGAGACTTGGAAGATGCTGAAGCCGAGACTCTGTCCAGCCGCAAGAAGCCCGCCTGCAGACTAAGCACGTACGACCAAGTGCTGGCTTTGGATCACATCGTCAAGCTCACCAACAACGCCAGAGGACTCGTGGCTTTTGCGCCAGAAAATGAGGAGGAAGAGAAAAGGCAAGACGCTGAACCGTTGGGCAAGACACCAGTCTTGGTGTGCTGTACAGACCACGGCACTGATGCTCAAGCTTGCAAGATGTTCCTCATGTTCCACGCAAGACTCCGCAGCATCTTCATCTACGACCCCAGGCACAATCTACAGCGTGTCCTGCAGAATGCGCAGACCTATGGAAACTACAGCGCAAGATGGGCCAATGCGCTCATAAGCTGGACACGAGGTCCCTGGGGTGGCATGAAGTGGAAGCGCATCGTCGCAGAAGAAGTTACGAGTTTTCTGGAGACGCTGAAGAAGAAACAAAGACAGCAAGAGACCTCTGCAGAATGGGAGATCATGAAGTTCTTTCTTCCACACGTGGCCATGGAAATTGGTGTCGCCGAGCACGATATCAGTGTGCCAGACATCATCCGCCTCTTGCAAGGCAGCAGCATCGGCAAGAAGCACATCGGCAGTGGAAATGCATCTCGTTGGGATGAGTTTCATTCAGCCTGGCACAACATCAGGCAAGCAGCAGGCCTTTTGGGCA